TAAATAATGCTAGAAATCGTGATAAGTAAGGCCCAAGTATGCCATAAACCACAAATAAAGAGGCAATGTACTCAGTAGAAGTTTGATAATAACTACCAAAAGACAATGAAGATGGAGTTACCCAGATCAAAACAACCAACATTCCAGAGGAAAGTAGGATTGCAAGGAAGCCGCTTGCTAATACCAAATACAATACCCACTACAAACCAACTATGTTAAAGGATCATTTTGGACTCTCAAGTCCTTAAGAAGGAATCAAAATAGTTTCATGGTTGGATTAATTTAGTTTTTCCTTAAAGAGTTGAGAGATCAAAATGATTCTTTAAAGTAGTTGGGGACTATTTTAGTCTTTCATAAAGAGTCAAGAGGCCATTTGATCTTTTTCTCGCCCCCAATGTAAAGAAAGCCATGATACTGCTAGACCGGTCCAGCCGGTCCGCACGGGACCGGCAGTTCGCGAATAACACGGGATCTCCGCCTCCTGCGGAGATCGAGCGGCCCGACCGCCCCATTATAGCATTTTAGGAAGCTTTTTTGAGAGTTTTGAGAGGGAAATTTGAATGTAGGGACTGTTTAGGGATTTCCTTTTGATTTGTATGCATTAAATAGTTGGTTTTACTAGGGTTTGAGTATCTTGAATTGAATGAAAGTTTGAGATCTAGGATTTCTTGCTTTGGGCTCTTGGCGTAGCCGGAAATTGAAGAGTTGTTCTTCCTCTCGGATTGAAGAACAAATTGTATCTTTGCTGTTTTATTCATCATCTAGTGGAATACAAGTTGGCTTTGAGTTTTTCCTGCAGTCTTCCTCTAATTTTCTGCTGTCTGGTTGCTGTAAACAGCAATTTGCTGTGTTATTTCCTGCTGTGGACAGCCATTTTTCTGCTGTTTGTTCACCGAGTTGGGCTAGGTTTGCTTGCGAACTAAAGTATTACCTTAGGGTTACTTGCGAACTCAAGTATTTCCTATCAAATTAGTATCAGAGCATCGATATTTGGGACCGTTGGCGGCTAGATTTCTGAAATTTCAGCGGTAGACTTGTCTCAATCAGAAGAAGATCTCTCAAGTTCTAAGAAAGAATTATGGCCGGAAGAAAAGTTGACGTCTTGGAAGGGGAGCTAGGGCAATTGAAGACAGATTTCGAAGAGAAGATCTCAGATTTTCAAAATCAATTTTCATCAATCCATGAGAAGATGGATGGAAGATTTGCCGCGCTAGAAGAATTAATGAAAAAAATGATTGAAGAAAAGCAAAAACCGGCATCATCTGAAACCGTCGGCGGCCATGGAAGATGAGGAAACCCTAACCCGTTTAGGGGTAGGGAAAATCCGGAACTGGAAGTTTTAGAGGGAGACGATGGGATGCCTCCGCTAGAACCGCTTTCGTGGGAGGAGTTGAGTAGGGGATACGACAAACGGGAGGCTGATTTTGTCGGAAGAAGGGAAGAATTTCATCGCCGAGGTTCTGAATTTGAAAGAATCCAGCGTCGAGGTGCTGATTTTGAAGTGAGAAGGGAGGAATTTCAATTCCGAGGTGCTGAATTCGAAAGAATTCAGAGTCGAGGAGATGATTTTGAAGGAAGAAGGGAGGAACTTCATCGTCAAGGTGCTGAATTTGAAGGAATTCAGCGTTGAGGTGATGATTTTGAAGGAAGAAGGGGAGAGTATGAAGAGGGGTTCGAGTATAATCGTCGGAGAGATGATCGGGACACTTGGGGAGCTCTTCCCCTTCGAGAAATGGGAGGTTATGGAGGATACTGGGGAAATGGAGGAGACCCACGGGTGAGGAAGCTGAAGATGCCCGTCTTTGAGGGTGAAGACGGACATGGCTGGATCTACAAGGTAGAGTGTTACTTTGCGGTCAACTGGTTGACGGAGGAAGAGAAGCTGACAGCGGCGGGATTGTGTTTGGAAGGAAAAGCTTTGGCATGGTATCAGTGGCATGATAGGAGGGAGCCCATCGGAGCTGGAGAGAGTTCAAAGATTGCTTATTTGAGCGTTTCCGAGCCGATGGGTGAGGAGACTTCTATGAACAATTCTTTTCCTTGACTCAGGAGGGGGGATTGTGGACGATTACCAGGACAAGTTTGAGTACTTGGCTAGCAGATTAGATCACATTTTGGAGTCAGCCCTAGAAGGGAACTTCATGAAGGAGCTTAAACCTAAGATACGAACAGCGGTCAGGGTGCTGGAGCCGAGGAACCTAGGGAAGGCTATAGAGCTGGCGCAGTTGGTGGAAGATCAGAAGAAATCAGAAAGAGGGGCTCGAGGAAACTATTCAGGGGGATCTTATGGGACGACGACCACTCTTCTAGCACCCAAGCAGCCTGCATCGGACAATATTAATGAGACCACCAGGGAGAAGCCAGTAGGAGAGAGTGGGGAAAATTTGAAGAGGCTGACAGAGAAGGAGATGCAGGATAAGAGGACAAAGGGGTTGTTCTTCAGATGTGATGAGAAGTACATGCCGGGGCATAGGTGCAAGGACCGAACTCTTCAGGTTCTCCTTGTCTGTGAAGACGAGGAAGATGAGGAGGGAGGTGGGAGCAGATCTAAAGAGGAGGAGGAGGAGAAGTTGCACCTGGATGTGGCAGTAGTCTCTCTGAACTCTATAGTGGGATTCACTCCGAGTCATACTATGAAAGTGAAAGGAGAGATAGTTGGTCGTGAGGTGGTGGTGCTAATTGATAGTGAGGCTACTCACAATTTCATTTCCACTCAGGTCGTTGACCAATTGAGAGTGAAGTTGGTGGACATCGGTTGCTATGGAGTGATGATGGGTACAGGGAAGGTGGAGAAAGGCCAGGGGATCTGTAGAGTGTAGAGGAGTGGTGTTGACCATCCAGGAGATTCAGGTAAGGGAGGATTTTCTCCAACTAGAGTTAGGAAGTACTGATGTCATCCTGGGAATGAAATAGTTGCAAACTTTGGGGGAAACCAAGGACAATTGGGGAGCACTCACGTGGAAAGGTGGTTATAAGGGGAGATGCAGGGCTATCCAAAGCCATGACATCACTTAAGACCATGGTTAGGAACATACAAGAGGTGGGGGAAGATTATGTGGTGGGACTACACAGGTTGGATGCGATCATATTGGAGGAGGGAGGGGATGTTTCTCTTTCTGTGCAGCCCTTGGTTCAGCAATACAGTAAGGTTTTTTAGTCACCTCAAGGATGGCCACCTCCTCGGGAACACGAGCATATTTCCACCTTGAGGACAAGGTGGATCTTTGGGAGGGGAGTATTGTTAGACCGGTCCACTGGACCGGTCCAGCCGGTCCGCACGGGACCGGCAGTTCGTGAATAACGCGGGATCTCCGCCTCCTGTGGAGATCGAGCGGCCCGACCGCCCCATTAGAGCATTTTAGGAAGCTTTTTTGAGGGTTTTGAGAGGGAAATTTGAATGTAGAGACTGTTTAGGGATTTCCTTTTGATTTGTATGCATTAAATAGTTTGTTTTCCTAGGGTTTGGGTATCTTGAATTTGAATGAAAGTTTGAGATCTAAGGTTTCTTGCTTTGGGCTCTTGGCGTAGCCGGAGATTGAAAAGTTGTTCTTCTTCTAGGATTGAAGAACAAATTGTATCTTTGTTGTTTTATTCATCGTCTAGTGGAATATAAGTTGGCTTTGAGTTTTTACTGCAGTCTTCCTCTAATTTTCTGCTGTCTGGTTGCTGTAAACAGCAATTTGCTGTGTTGTTTCCTGCTGTGGACAGCCATTTTTCTGCTGTTTGTTCACCGATTTGGGCTAGGTTTGCTTGTGAACTCAAGTATTACCTTAGGGTTACTTGCAAACTCAAGTATTTCCTATCAGATACCAAAAGAGACCCGACAAAAAACTCTACAACAAAATGGATAAGAACGGTAGAACACCATTGACTTGGATAGAACCATGAAGCATCCCGATAACAATGAAGTTGGCAATAACTGCTTGCTACAAACCAATAGCCAGTGCTCTTAATAACCTATCAAAGGAAACGCTTGATTCATATATCTATTCCTCCAAAAGACAACGTCAAACTTGTTGAGAGACACGACATGAATAATCAACTTTTAACAGCAGCCCAATGTCCTGCAAAAAGATTTTCCAAAACATAACACTAACCTTGTCAAGTAAAAAAAAAAAAGAGAAGCCCACAGCTTATTCTCAGATAACACTAGCGTGTAAGAAACAAAAAGTACTCCTAGAAACACAACTAGCAAGGGAAACGCCACTTAAGAAGCAACAAACAACCAAAATCACCATTTTAGGTTTCAACAAAAATAAATATAGGGAACCACCATGTTTGGATAGGAAATAATAGAATGCCAAATAACCCCCAACAACTATTTCATATTCTTAAGCAAGGGCGGAACCAACCATAATTTTCAGGGGGCAAACTTATAAGTAATTGTTGGCAGATATGTCGGGGTTCAAGGGGACAGCGCCCCCGGCAAGGTTCAACCTGATAAAAATTTATTTTATATTTTCTTAGGGGGGGCAAGCTCAAGGGGGTTCCGCTACTGTTCTTAAGTATGGATAATGATACCATTCCAGCTAACCTGCAAAATTCTGCTATCTTTACTCTTGACTCACAGGTTAGTCAAAAAATCCGCACTTAATTAGCTTCACAATGGGCATGGATAATTTTATAGTTGAATTTTGTTAGCACCGTTTGATTTTGCATTTAATACTGAACACGGCCTCCCACTTGTAAGGAGTGTCATGGCACCCACTTGAAGTCTTAACCACCTTCTCACTTTTGTTGTACCTTTTTCCTTAAGCAGAGAAAGATCCTCAATGTAGTTGTGAACAATTTGTGCACCCTGAATCTCTAGAAAATTCAATGCCGTTAATGCAATTTAGTTCTAATTTTCCTACTCCTCTTCTTATAGTAATTAATAGTTGATTCCTATAATGGAAGTCTAGTTTCATTTGTTTCTGGTTAATTCTCATCATACATGTAGCTGTCTTGAATGAAACATACTGTCCAAATTCTGGGGCCTAAAACTTTTCACTCCTTTACAGTGTTGTAGATGATAGTGAGATGGAAACATTGAATGCTCCAAAAGCTGCAGGTAACCTTTCAGGCTTCGTTTGGCATGGCTTTCTTACTGCTTCTTAAAACAGTTTTTTAGTATAAAAATCTTAATTTTTGTTCTAAAAAACTAGTTTAAAAAGCAGGAAGAAAGCCGTCCCAAATGAACCCTCAGCCTCTCAGCCATGACAACCTGTTTACCCTGTTATTTTCTTATTATCTCCGTGTTCTCTTATTCAGATGAGCTTCCTGAAGGTTTAACTAGGGAGCTTCCAAGTGCTGACAAGCATCAAGAAGCAGCAGCAGCATTAGAAGGGACAAGTATTTCATCCAACGATGTCGATCTTGAAGAACTTCAGAGACAACTTGATGCCCTCAATGCTTCATAATATCACAGGGAAGAGTCTTTCAAGATAAAATGTTTTTATTTCATTCCAGATAATTTTATTGCGAAATTCGTTCTACCACAGGTTTCATTGAGATTATGGCTTCGTTTGAGATAGTTTTCTCACTGCTTTTTAAAAAAGTAAAAAACAGTAAAAAAATTGTCTCAAACGAAGCTTATATCCAAAGAAACTGATGCGAGGGGTAATGGTTTAATAGAAATTTGAGCTAATTAGTATCAAATAAGTCAGAAGCTGAGGAACATATATTATAATATTAGAGATTTCAGACAATATGTCCAGGCAGCAGTGTATAATGACTATTTATGTGGGATTTTTACCTAAATAATTTATTATGTGTTACATTCATTAGATACTATAGCAAATCCTGCTGCCCTTGTAAGTTTTGATTTAACTTATAGGAAGATTTCCTTGGAATTTATTCTAACTAGTTTAAGTCCTCAGTGATTCTTATAGTCAAAGATTATTCTTAGTAAATATATAGTTATATAAAGATTAAAAATATTTATCTTAATACCTCAAAGATAAAAATGTGACCATAATTTTCTCTTCAGAAAATGTGGGCCCAACTCTCGTTTCATAATTGGTCAAAACTTTGAGATCCAGTTTGATCAAAAGCTGGCTTGGGCCGGATCAAGAGCCACCACCATTGACTCAGTTGTTTACAACCAAGGACTATATGTTTGATTTCATGCTTCTGTAATGGTTTACTCTAATGGTATAAGCTCGTGAGTTGGCTCGAGCTCGACTTGTTAACGAGCTCATGAGTCAAATTTAGCGAGCCATGAGTTCAAGCTTGAGGTTATACTGAGCTCGTATATTAAAAAAGCTCAAGCTCAAGCTCAACTTGCTTGGGCTTGATAGCTTGTTGAGCTATTCATTTAACTTAAATATATTTAAAATTAATTTAAATCAATATCATATAATATACTTTAATATTTAAAAATTAATAGTATATTTTTGGGATTTTTACATACATGCCACTTTATAACATGTGTATTACATATTTAACACAAAACTTAAATATTTCATTTATACCACTCAAATACAAACTTAACCTCAAAAATACCACTCCCTCTCACTCCGTCCCTTCTTCGCTTCATTTCACACTACCCCGCCCTAAATTGTCTGCTCCTTCAGCTCTTCCCACTGAAATTTGCTGTTTGTGTTAAACCGCCATTTGCATAAAAGGTTATTGCTTCACGTTTTTATATTGGGAAGTTTCGGTTGGATAGCAGCAGGTTACAGAACTTTCATTTAGATAGAAGCAGGTTACAGAACTTTCATTTCGGTTGGAAAGCTTCAGAAATTGTAGAACAAACTATGAGCTCAATGAACAAACCATGAACAAACTATGAGCTTCAGAAATATGATATTAAGCAGGTTATTTAAATCTGATATAACTGTGTTCATGTTAAAAATGCAGAAAAATCTCACCGGTTCTCCGTGAAAAGCACAGGCGGGAATAAAGTTTGCTCGCATGGAAGAGCAGCAAAGTTGGAAGAGCAGCTTAGAGGGATAAACAAGGTTTCGCTGAAACCTGTTCTCCCGCGAAAATCACAGAAGGGAAGGAAAAAAAAAAACGAAGTGAGGTTGCTGGTTAACGGAGTGGTAATTTTGTTGTGAAAATAAAAAATAGGTGGTAGGAGTGTAATATTTAAGAATTAGGTGTTAAATATGTAATACACATGTTATAAAGTGACATGTATGTAAAAATCCCTATATTTTTCATACGACATAAGTGACATTTTTTGATCCAATTTATTTAAAATATATTTATGGCCTTGTTTATAATAAGCTAAATAGATATTTTGATGGCAAAGACACAAAATAAAGATTTCAAATTTTATGAGCCTTCGTAAGTTTGTTAGTCCCTAAAAAAGTATTTGTGACCCTCTACAAAGGTATTACATAATCATATAAATAAAGATATAGAATGCCTGACTACAAATAAATTTAGCGGGCTCAATTATGATTTGCCCCTATAAGCATCTTAGTGGCTACTCAAAGTTTTGTAGCTTCTAATGATATATTTTAGGCATTTGACTTATAATTAAGCATACATAATTAATCTCTTAAAATCTTTGGGCTCTCATATAAATAGTATTTTATGCTCTAGGTATAAATCTAATGCCTCAGCATACCGCACCCTTTTGGATGTTCGTGGAGTACACATCTCCCAGATAGCCTGGGGAGAGTTCACAGGAAGCGAGGATGTCAGATTTTACTGGTTAAAGCACAATGAGATCTTATACCGACTTCTCCTTCCCGGTGGATCCTTATGGGTCTTTTTAGCCATGTGAGTCTTTTAGAGCTAGTGTATCTTTGCTGACAGAGGTTTTTTAGATACCGTCGTACACGCCGACGGTCGTGGATTTAGTTCATGCAGCTCTGTCCTTTGTCCCAGAGAGTTAACCAGTTGATTCTACAGGCCCTTTTGCATGTATACTTTTATTACATGCTGATTAATTTTGATGCATTATTGTCATATTCATCATTATGCTCATTGTCTGTAAATCTTAATGCAGTGCATGAGGGAGTAGACTTCACCTCAGAGATTCACCATCAGTTCTTGGTCCACAGAATGCTGACATGTGAGATGATGGTACAAAGGTTTTGTGGGGGTTGATATCTCATGTCGACCCATGATCTCTGAAGTCCATCGACCAATTTGCTGCCTAAGGGAGCGGACTACACCGTTTGTATTTCTGTTGAAATTTTCGTCCGCATTTTATTTACCAAAGCTGACAAATTATCCTATAGAGTTGAGATTAAAGAGTTGACACTTGATGACTGATTAAAAAACTTATTTCATAAATGAGTACTTAGCAATTAAGTAAATGTTAGACCAACTAAGTTTATGATTTTTTTTTTTAATTTTTAATCAAATTGAGACAAACACACACTTCACATATACAAACTTCAAACCAAAGACTTCTTGATTGATAACAAAAGCTTCCAACCAACAAATCAAGTTTAAACCACTCATTGTAGAAGAGCCAAGGCTCTAAGTAAACGAACAATCCATACTTAACAAAGTCATATTTTATGCTTAGTTAATTAGATTAGAGTTTTAGTATAAAGAAAAATGGCATGTCTAACAAACTTGAAAAGAAGAAATTTCCAAGACTATCTTGAATTAATTCTACTTAATTTCCAAATATTTGGCATCTTATTCTAAACATTTTTTTTAGTATTCATCTCAAAGTAGATTAAAATCAAATTATTGAACTTTTCCAAATCCAAACATTGCACAATCTTTTTATAACCTTTAGACACAATCTAGCCATAGAACTTGGACTCTCCCCATTCCAATAAGATATGTATTGAGTAGAGAGAACAATCATTTATAAATGGCAAGTTTAGATGTTACCCCCACAAAGATAAAAGCTCCAATAAAAGATGAAACTTATCCAATAAGTCATCCAATACTTTTCATAAAAGGGCAAAGCCTTTTACAAAATGTTAGAAGGAATCATTAGCTTATTGTAGTGGATTATTTAGAAAATTTGACAAGTTGTTGGCCCAACTATCCATTATTTTGTGACAACTTTTTTTACTTCTTTTTAAAGCAAATTTCTAGTAAAAAAATTTTAATTTTGTATTAAAAAACTGTTTTAAATAGTAATAAAAAAACCGTCGCAAACAAAACCTCAATTGCTAGCTTGCTTGCCCGTATATTGGCAAGATCACCTACATAATTACTACATTAATACTCTCCATCAAATCAATTTTAGTAATATTTTTTGTTCTGATGTACTTCTTGCGCAATCTATGTTTGGCTCAAATAAAGATCAAATCAATTCAATGTTTTTATAAGAATATAATTGAATGGAATGGCTTTCAACTGATCTTGAGCTTAAATTAGATTGACTGAACATTGAATAATTAATCACTTGGAATGGTGAAAAAGAAAAAAAAAAATAAATGAAAGGCTTATTTGGTGCTACAGTGATCCCAAACCGATCTCGTGAATCATTACACAGTAAGGTCATCTCCAACCGGAAAACCTATTTTCTACTTCAAAACACAGTAACAGTAATATCAAACAATAATTCATCTCCAATCGAACTCTATTTATAACACAAAAAAATTATGTATATTATTTCTCATCTAATTTAAATAAATTAATTACATAAAAATTTAAAAATATTAAAATTATAAATTTAATAACATAAGTTAAAACTAATATATTTATGATTCAAAATCTAATAATTTAATAATTTTGAGATAATTTTAAAATAAAAAAAAAGGATTTGTGAATAGTGTGATGTCAATATTGCGTCACACTGTTCACAATTGCAAAAATGCAGCTACGAATGTCATTCAGGTGGACAGCTCATGGAACTTCAAACAATTGCATCTAGTTCGGCTGGAGATGCCCTAAGCGGTAACTACGGAACTGAGACCTTCCAAATAATTTTATTGAAATTAAACAGCTAGAGAAGAATTTTTATTTATTATTTTAATAAATAAAACAAGGAAAGGGAAGTTTTTCACCTAAACTTGGAAACAAGCAAATGTTGAAATAGTAAAAATGAAACAAATAGTTATAATGTTTAGAGAAACATAATAACATATTTCCACATCTTGTAAGTCAGTAAGGCTAATCTCTTCAATTTTAAGCTTACTCAAACTTGAGTGTTATATCTGCCATTTGTGGGTGGTGTTTCCTAACCTACAAGTTGAATATAATCATAAGTTCATTAGCAGAATTTGTTAAGGAAGAAAATAAAAAGCAGATAGTACCTTAACACCAGCCAATGATAATAACTTGTGAGAGGCAGTGTAAGCAGCATCTGAATTGTTTACTCTTTTCTCAATAAAATAAATTACTTCTGAGACACCTGACTGAATAAAATCAGAGGAAATATATTAATACTTCTATCTCTGAATAAAATTATAGCAATCACAAACACAATCTCCAAGAAGAATTCAGAACAATGGTAAGAGAAAACTCTTTCTAATTGATGATATGCAGGAGATAAACTCTTTCTAATTGATGATATGCAAGAGAAAACAACAAGATACAATTGATCTTCTATTGAAGAGGAAGATCCGGCTCTCCCAAATCCCTAGCCGCTAGCTAGACCCCAATCAACCTAAGAACAGACTAAATTCAGCAAACAAAACATAACCCTGATTCTAGGAAAATAACCTAATTAAAGCAAACAATAGTAATGTAAATTCCAAAACAACCCCCCTTAATTCTTTCTCTAATTACCGCTGGACCCCACCCCAAAAGGGTGGGAAGAAGTTTGAGGCGGAACATGTCCTTCTCCTGTAACAAGGGCCGGTCCCTCCTAGACCGGTCTAGCATAATATAAACAAATAAGTCTCTCTAATTTTTCTTAGCACTGACCTGGATGATGACTTTGGCACATTCATTACAGGGAAACATGGTAACGTATAATCTCTGCAAGAAATACAGTAGATGAATTACTTTAAACACCACTATTGCGCAAACATATCAATAAAAAAGAGAAATCATAGACTTTTTTTTTTGGAGAAATTATAGACTAGTTTCTGGATAATTTAAGTGTCGGAAGCCTTTAAGAATCATGTCAAAAAATTATGCATCATTATGTCAAATAACAAAGGAAGCCATATTTTTTAATTTTTTAACCTAGGTTGAAATAATGTTTAATGGCACATCAAATAGATAATAAGTGTTATCAAAGCTGATGGTTTAACGGGAGATTAAGAAGGTTCATACACTTTGTAGCTCTCATATGTCTTGGCCACTTTCTATCATGGTTGAGCTAATATTTAAGAATAGGTGACTCCTACAATATATCTACATAGATGAGTTGGCTGGCGATGAATGATACTTAATGGTGTTAATGTTAGGAATTAACTTGTAGCACATTGAGTGGTAGGTTTCAAACTTCTTATGAGAAAACATGTAACAATATTAGGAGATTTGTTAGGTATTAACTAAATAATCATACATGAAATATATGTTATGTTAAGATAAGGATCAAGCTTCTGGTGTGCAAGTAAAAAAAATGTGTTGGGTCATTTTCCATACGTAGCTATATATTGGGTTGTTTGCATAAGTTGATTCATAGAATTGGTATCAAAGCATTAAACAATCTTGAGTTTTTTTGTTTGGAGTTGAAAAGGAATACAGAAGAGAATGGAAAAAAGCTTCTTGAAATTGGTCTAAAAAATATGTTCATCTAGCCTTTCCATAGATCCCAAGCATGCATCATTATGGTTTTCAGAGGCTCACTTACATAATAAGTGAATGGAAACGCTGTAATTTAAGATATCAATAAGAGATATTTAAACAGAACAAGCTTATAAACACTAACCTGTCCAGCAGCAGATGCGTGATTTGTGTTCAGGATGGCATTAACTTCAGCATGTACTACATAACTGCCAGAGAAACCAAATATCAAAACAACGGTTCTCCTATGTTTTTTCAGGAATAGCAGAAATTACTTTTAAAACAACTTCTTAAAATGTGGAAGTCTATACTTGCCCTAGTAACTAACAAGATTTACTTGCTCAGGTATTTGAAAAGTAAAAGACATTCAGCATATGAGTTTGTTCACAAGCAAAGAGAAGTTATAAATAAAATCCGGTTGGTTGATAATAACTATAATAATAATTATTAATAATTCACAAAACGTAGTAAAACCAGAAAAAAAAAAGAACATAGATATAATTGTCAGTGGTGGATTCAAAAATTTGGTGCGAATGAACAAAGTAATAGGCTAGTGTCTATTAGACATATTTCATGTTTGTCTTATATATGAGGTAATATAATGTAATATAAATATAAAGTTCTTTATGAACTGCAACACACAGATGAAAAAAAAAATATAGGTAAAAGTATAAATTACAGCTAACTTTGAAATATAACAGAATGAATATCAATTATAGCAAATTGAAAATTTTGTAGCCCTAAGATCTGCCCAATAATCATAATGTGATACCTGATGCCAAATTATATGTGAGACGATCAAAGTGGGCAACAAAAACAATGTCACAAATTATTTATTCTATGCATATAAGTTGATAAAGCACAAAATTTGTATAGAAAATCCCAAATATATATGGACTCTTACGTTTTTTCAAAATAAATTGAATGTACACTCTTGTGGGCTCCGAAAATTCGGCCCCGGCCTCCGCTCGCTCTTCTTGTTCGGCGAGGGAGTTTTAACGAACTAAGTTCCGGGGTAAATTTTGGAAGGCAGATGGGTTTGTAGATAAGACACTACCCAGAGATTTCGCCCTCATTTTGTGAGGACTTTATGATCTTGAGTTCTGGTTTCCTATAGGCGCAAGCCCCTATAGTTAATTACCCCTCCCGATCACGAGAGAGAACTTTCGATTAAGGCTAGTCATCAATCAGATTCGTATAGAAATACGTGTTATCTGGCATATAGTAGCAGCAATACATATGGATTTGAAAATATTTGGAAGTTTGGAAATTGGATTTGAAAATTTGAAAAGTTTGGAAGATTTGGAGATTTAATATTTAAAAATGGAAGTTTCACCCTCTAACACTTAAAGCGGATGGTGGGGGAATGGATGATGGGCCCGATCAAGATCCCATGGTTCCGTCGTCCCGGGCCATCATGGTCCCTGGTCTACTTAGTCAGAGGAGGTAGTCGACCCAACCTGACAGAAGGATCCTTGTCGGCAGCCATGGGTTGCTTCGTCCAAGGGGACCTTGTAGACCTGGGTTGGATC